CTTAGTCAGGGACATAAAACCTGGTTTAAGCCAGGCACAGTGGCTTATGCTTCTAATCCCAGCACTTTGGGAGGCCAAGGCAGGCAGATCATGAGGTCAGGAGTTCAAGACCAGCCTGGACAATATGGTGAAACCCTGTCTCTACTAAAAATACCAAGAATCGGGCCGGGCGCGGTGGCTCAAGCCTGTAATCCCAGCACTTTGGGAGGCCGAGGCGGGTGGATCACAAGGTCAAGAGATCAAGACCATCCTGGTCAACATGGTGAAACCCCGTCTCTACTAAAAATACAAAAAATTAGCTGGGCATGGTGGCGCATGCCTGTAATCCCAGCTACTCAGGAGGCTGAGGCAGGAGAATTGCCTGAACCCAGGAGGCGGAGGTTGCGGTGAGCCGAGATCGCGCCATTGCACTCCAGCCTGGGTAACAAGAGCGAAACTCCGTCCCAAAAAAAAAAAAAAAAAAAAAATACCAAGAATCAGCCAGGCGTGGTGGAGGTTGCAGTGAGCCAAGATCGAGCCACTGCACTTCAGCCTAGGTGAAAGATCAAAATTCTGTCTAAAAAAAAAAAAAAAAACAACAACAAAAAACCTGGCTTAATGGATTTCAGCCAGGAATATTAGAATAGAATGGAAGAAAATGAAAATATCAGATTATAGCATGAACAGTAATATTGTCTCATGAAACTTTTGTTTCTGTTGTATGTAAGTACTAGACATGAAAATAGAAAATAATGCAAATGACAGAAATTTTGGGGTATAGTGCTTCTGGAAGCTTTCATGGGATGTCAGGGACTTGAAAGGAAGAGGTATCCATTTGGCCAGTTGATGGGAAGGTGGAAGGTTATTTCAAAGAAAGGAAACAGACAGCCATGGAAAAGATGGGGAGTATTCAAGGGATGTCCCTTCAACTGCGTGATGGAGTGAGGAGCACAGATAGAAGTTAAGTAAGGGCCGAGCGTGGTGGCTTACACCTGTAATCCCAGCACTTTGGGAGGCTGATGTGGGCGGATCACGAGGTCAGAAGATTGAGATCATCCTGGCTAACACGGTGAAACCCCGTCTCTACTAAGAATACAAAAAAAAAATTAGCCAGGCATGGTGGCATGAGCCTGTAGTCTCAGCTACTAGGGAGGCTGAGGCAGGAGAATAGCTTGAACCCAGGAGGCAGAGGTTGTGGTGAGCTGAGATCGCACCACTGGACTCCAGCCTGGGCAGCCAGATTCCATCTCAAAAAAAAAGTAAGGAGACTGGGTGTGGTAGCTTATGTCTGTAATTCCAGCACTTTGGGAGGCTGAGGCAGGTGGATCACTTGAGGCCAAGGGTTTGAGACCAGCCTGGCCAACATGGTGAAACCCCGTCTCTACTAAAAATATAAAAATTAGCCAGGCATGGTGTTACATGTCTGTAATACCAGCTACTCAGGGAGGCTGAGGCAGGGGAATTGCTCGAACCCAGGAGGCAGAGGTTGCAGTGAGTTGAGATCAAGCCACTACACTCTATCCTGGGTGTCACAGCAAGAATCCGTCTCAAAAGAAAAAAAAAACAAAAAGGGTGGGGGGAGGCCAGGCGTGGTGGCTCACACCTGTACCTATAATCCCAGCACTTTAGGAGGCTGAGGCAGGCACACTGCCTTAGTTTAGGAGTTTGGGACCAGCCTGGGCAACACGGTGAAACCATGTCTCTACTAAAATACAAAAAATTAGCCAGGCGTGGTGGCGTGTGCCTTTGGTCCCAGCTACTCTGGAGGTTGAGGCAGGAGAATCACTTGAACCTGGGAGGTGGAAGTTGCAGTGAGCCAAGGTCACGCCACGACACTCCAGCCTGGGAAACATAGTGAGACTCCATCTCTTTTAAAAAAAAAAAAAAAAAAAGAGGAAGAAGAAAAGCAAGCAAGCAAACAAACCAAGAATGGGATTATGAAATTCACAGAGGAGCAGATTTTAGTGGAATTGACTTGGCTGAGGTTGAACTGCTGATCAGTGTGGAGGGGGCATGCCCTTGGAGACACAGAGGCTTATGGAGTGTAGTTAAGGTGGTGTTTTGCAGGGCGCGGTGGCTCACGCCTGTAATCCTAGCACTTTGGGAGGCCGAGGTGGGTGGATCACCTGAGGTCAGGAGTTGAAGACCAGCCTGGCCATCATGGAGAAACCCCATCTTTAAAAACATAAATTAAAAAGAAAGGTGGTGTTTTGCTGAAACCAAGGGATAGTTTTTGAAACATCTGTAGTTACAAGATGTCACATGGATGAAAGTGGTTAACAAGTAACTGAAATTTTTATTTATTTATTTATTTTTGATAGGGAGTTTTGCTCTAGTTGCGCAGGCTGGAGTGCAGTGGCTCGCTGCAACCTCTGAGGCAGCCATGTCGGTTTACAGGCGTGAGCCACTGTGCCTGGTCTTTTTTCTTTTTTTTGTGACGGAGTCTTGCGCTATTGCTCAGGCCTGGAGTGTAGTGCAGTGATCTTGGCTCACCGCAGCCTCTGCCTCCTAGGTTCAAGCAATTTTCCTGCCTCAGCCTCTGGAGTAGCTGGGATTACAGGCATTCACCATTACACCCAGGTAATTTTTGTATTTTTGGTAGAGGTGGGGTTTCACCATGTTGGCCAGGCTGGTCTCAAACTCCTGACCTCAGGTGATCCACCTGCTTCAGCCTCCCAAACTGCTGAGATTACAGGCATAAGCCACTGCACCCAACCAAAATTGTTATTTTAAAATTTTTATTTATTTTTGAGATGGAGTCTCACTCTGTCTCCAGGCTGGAGTACAGGGGCGATCTCAGCTCACTGCAACCCCTGCTTCCTGGGTTCAAGCATTCTCGTGCCTCAGCCTCCCATGTAGCTGGGATTGCAGGCACAGGCTCACCCCAGCGTCTGCCTCCTAGGTTCAAGCAATTCTGCCTCAGCCTCCCGAGTAGCTGGGATTATTGGCGCCTGCAACCATACCTGGTGAATTTTTGTATTTTTAGTAGAGATGGGGTTTCACCATGCTAGGCAGGCTGGTCTCAAACTCCTGGACCACCCACCTCAGCCTCCTAAAGTGTAGGCATTACAGGCCACTGTGCCCAGAGTGAGTGTGTGTGTGTGTGTGTGTGTGTGTGTGTGTGTGTGTGTGAGAGACAGAATCTTGTTGTTGCCCAGGCTGAAGTGCAGTGGTGCAATATTGGCTCACTACAACCTCTGCCTCCTGGGTTCAACTGATTGTCGTGCCTTCCTCAGCCTCCCAGGTAGCTGGGACAACAGGCAGGTACTACTGCCTGGCTAATTTTTTTTTTATTTTTAGTAGAGATGGGGTTTTGCCATGTTAGCCAGACTGATCTCAAACTCCTGACCTCAGGTGATCTGCCCACCTTGGCCTCCCAAAATGCTGGGGATTATAGGTGTAAGCCACCACGTCCAGCCACTAGAACCATTTCTGTCAGGCTTCCTTACAGAGAACTTCAAAGGCAGAGATAATTTTAATTCAATTTTGGATATTCAGCATATCATAAACAATCAAAAGTTGTTGACCCAAACCAAAACCCTGGAGAAGTCCGAAGACTCATTTTTTTAATCCCCCTGGCTTTGCTAAGCGTAGTATAGACTTGGGCGAAGTCCCTAGATTCCTCAGGACCTGATGCCTTTTTTTTTTTTTTTTTTTTGAGGCAGAGTCTTGCTCTGTCACCAGGCTGGAGTGCAGTGGCGGAATCTTGGTTCACTGCAACCTCTGCCTCTCGGGTTCAAGCAATTCTCCTGCCTCAGCCTCCTGAGTAGCTGGGATTTACAGACATGCAACAGCATGCCGGGCTAATTTTTGTTATTAGTAGAGATGGGGTTTCACCATGTTGGTCAGACGGGTCTAACGCCTGATCTTGTGATCGGTCCGCCCTGACCTCCCAAAGTGCTGGGATTACAGGTGTGAGCCTCGGAGCCCATACTGTTTTTCTACATCTATGTTGTTAAAGACCAACTTGACTTGCTGTCTCAAACTGTCAATATGCCTCCTTGGGATAACTCGCTTATCACAACAGGCAGAAATGACAGTCGAGTTACAGTAAAAGACGCCTAAATCTGACCTTTGTCTGTTCATTGAAAAAAATAGGCCCTCTCATAATGAAATCAATCCTTAAAGAAGGATAGATTTAATGAAAAAAATTTATTTTCCTTTATGAAAAATAAAAATTAAAAAAAAAATAAGTACTTTATGAAACAAGTCAAAGTCAAGTACTCCTATCTCATCAATTTTTCTTTCCATCATTATTTTGAGATGGAGTCGCAGTCTGTCATTCAGCCTGGAGTAAGTGGCTTGATCTCAGTTCACTGCAACCTCCACCTCCCAAGGGTTCAAGCAATTCTCCTGCCTCAGCCTCCCAAGTAGCTGGGACGATAGGTGTGAGACACCACACCCAGCTAATTTTTGTATTTTTAGTAGGGACAGTGTTTTGACATGTTCAGGATGGTCTCGAACTCTTGGCCTCCAATGATCCACCAGCCTTGGCCTCCCAAAGTGCTAGGATTACAGGTGTGAGCCACCACACCTGTCCCATCATTTTCTTTGGGTGACAGTCTTACTGTTTACCCAGGCTGGCGTGCAGTGGCAGGATCACCGTTCACTGCAGCCTCACCCTCCCAAGCTCAAGCAATACTCCCATCTGAGCCTTCTGAGAAGCTAGGAGGTGCATGCCACTGCACCCGACTAGTTTTTCATAGAGATGGGTTTCTGCCATGTTGCCCAGGCTGGTCTTGAACTCCTGGGTCTCCCAAAGTGTTGGGATTACAGGCGTGAACCACTGTGCCCAGCCTCTACCATTATTGGAAGCGATCTCTTCAGTTCAAAATTAAAGTTGGACAGGAAGGAAAAAATAGTACATTTCTAAAAATGACTTTGGTTTACCTATAATGAAAGGCATAGGTGGTTTTGAAGTCCTTCCAGTGGTAATAAGAGGATAAGGTACTTAACCAATCCCACTACCTTTGTTTTGAATCACAAATTCCTTGGTGACTAAAATAAATTCCTAAAGTGACTACGAGAAAATAAACACCAACTTTATTAATATAATAGCAACAGAAAAGGCTTCCAATTTCTAAGAAGGAAATAACACCAGCACAAGTGTTTAAAGAGTAAATGCCTACATTTCTTGTTCTGATAGCTTCCCACCACACACCGAAGATTCCTCAAAGACAGTTGCCACCAGAGCTGCTGCAGGAACATGTTTTTCACTGGGCATAGCTTCACAGTCAACTCCTCAAGCAGAAGACTAAAATATTCTTTCTTTTTAGAAGATCTTGGTTGTGGAAGAACATATCAATATGGAGAGATCTTTGCTTCTCAAATTGAAGAAGCACTACTAACTAATATATCAATTTTTCTCTGATACAGTGTGCCAGAGTGCTCTATGAAGAATCCTTTTCCATCCATACCACATGTCTGGGTGAGAGGAGAGTGGCAAGCTACCAGTATACTAGCAGACACTCCTGGTGATGGTCTGTGCTCTGCTCCCTTTCTGCTGGTAGTAGTAGGCATCTTTTCTGGTAGCTGCAGCAGCTTGATGTGGGGGGAAGGAAGGGGCCACTGACCAATCACCTCTTCTTGAAGCCATATTTTTTGCGTTCATAGAAGAGATCTGTCTTAGAGCTCCCCAAATTAACAATCTTTGGGCAGCCATCTCTCTGGAAAACAGAACAGAGAAGTTGTTAAGTCTTTGAGCCTGAACCAAGAGTGAATTAAGATAAAAAATTTAAGCCCAGTGTGGTAGCATGTGTCTTTAGTCCCAGCTACTCAGTAGGCCAAGGCAGGAGAATCACTGGAGCCCAGGAGTTCGAGGTTGTAGTAAGCTATAATCATACCTGTGAATAGCCAGCTACTGTTACCCCACCATGGCCAACATAGCGAGACCCCCCATCTCTTGGGGAAAAAAAAAAAAAAATTTGGCCAGGCATAGTGGCTCACGCCTGTAATCCAAGCACTTTGGAGGCCAAGGCGGGTGGATCACCTGAGGTCAGGAGTTCAAGACCAGCCTGATCAACATGGTGAAACCCCGTATTAAAAAAAAAAAAAAAATTTGGTCACACAGTTCAACTTCTCACCTTAGTATTTGAAGACCACATTAACGGGTTTGCAAATGTGTCTAAACAATATCTCCTTAATTGGGAGGCTGAGATCCATCAGCACTGTTTCTTCCCAATCTCTTAGCACTTATGAAAGACCATTTTATAACTTTTGGATTAATGGTTTAGTGATTTATCTTACCAGTTATCCTATTATCCTATTTGATCTATCATCAGTAATTTTTTTTTTTTCCTTTTGACGGAGTCTTGCTCTGTTGCCCAGGCTGGAGTGCAATGGTGCAACCTTGGCTCACTACAGCCTCCGCCTCCAGGGTTCAAGCACTTGTCCTGCCTCAGCCTCCCAAGGAGCTGGGATTATAGGCGCCAGCCACCACACCAGGCTAATTTTTGTATTTTTACTAGAGATGGGTTTCCACCATGTTGGCCAGGCTGGTCTCAAACTCCTGCCCTCATGATCTGCCCACCTGAGCCCCACAAAGTGCTGGGATTACAGGCATGAGCCTCCTTGCCCATCCTATCATCAATAATTTACTAAATAGGGCTGGGCGTGGTGGTTCATGCCTGTAATCCTAGCACTTTGGAAGGCTGAGGCAGGCAGATCACCTGAGGTCAGGAGTTCAAGACCAGCCTGACCAACATGGTGAAAACCCATCTCTACTAAAAATACAAAAATTAGCCAGGCAGTGGCTAACACCTGCAATCCCAGCTACTCAGGAGGCTGAGGCCGGAGAATCACTTGAACCCCGAAGGCGGAGACTGCAGTGAGCCGAGGTTATGCCACTGCACTTTAGCCTGGGAGGCATGAGCAAGACTCCGTCTCAAAAAAATAAGTAAAATAATAGCCGAGGCGGGCAGATCACGAGGTCAAGAGATGGAGACTATCTTGGCCAACATGGTGAAACCCCATCTCTACTAAAAATACAAAAAAATTAGCTGGGCGTGGTGGTCCCAGCTACTCGGGAGGCTGAGGCAGGAAACTGCTTGAACCCGGGAGGCGGAGACTGCAGTGAGCTGAGGTTGCGCCACTGCACTCCAGCCTGGAGCCTGATGACAGAGTGAGACTCTGTCTCAAAAAAAAAAAAAAATTTACTAAACACCTAAGAATGTGCTCAAGGCCTGCCTACCCTCTATCCAGTGACCTACAAATTACACTTAGAATGCTGGATTCTCGGCCGGGCACGGTGGCTCACGCCTGTAATCCCAGCACTTTGGGAGACGGAGGCGGGTGGATCATGAGGTCAAGAGATTGAGACCGTCCTGGCTAACATGCTAAAACCCCATCTCTACTAAAAAATACAAAAATTAGCTGGGCATGGTGGCGCA